GCCCCGCGATCCCTGCTGGGACACGCCCCACTCTCCCCGAGGGCCACACTGTTTCATCTGGTCGCTCTTAGGAGCAGAGCAGCTCTTTGTGTCCTCTCTCCACACTTAATGGCCTCCTTGGATGAATCATCTCAAACAGCCCACATGACCCGTGTGTTGGGTAATAGACAGAAGGAAACCAATAAAATGCAAAACATTTATTCGAGTGTGTTGTACAAAAAGTTTCCAGTCATAAAATGTATATTACAAATAATTGAAAAAGACAAGACATTTGGCATGCATATTCTAAAAAGAAAAGAACAACCACTTTGAAATGATAAAGTCTAGGTCATGATGTAGTTTTTCTAAGTTTCAAGTGATCACTTTTATTGTTTCATTATCCTTGTGTTTCTGTTAACAACCTATTTTTGTAATTCCCTATTTAAAACACCTGAACCCTCCAAAAAGTCATCATCAGCAGCTGTCTGGAGGTGGTTACTGCAGTGCCCTCAAGCCAGACCTATCTAAGCCAAAATTTTATTTTAAAAGTTTTAAAAATAAAAATCACAATTCAAGTCACAACATATCACTGCTATGAAAATAAGAGACCAACTGTATTTTGTGCCCAAATGGAAACCATTTTGGTTTAAATTTTCTCAAAATAGATTATTGCTTGTAATTTTAGTGTAATGATCTGGGTAGATGAATATACAATAACATCTGCATTAAACAGATGGACTTGTCACTTCAGTAATAGCTAACTAGAAAATCTGGAAGTTCAATAAACAACATCTTATTTTCTGGAACTCCAAGTCAATTCACTGCTTGTGCTATTCTGAATGGAGGCTTTCACATTTTTTTCACTCTAGACCTTAGCATTTCAAGAAAGGCATGTTTACAAATAATAATTGCATGTAAATATGGTCTTTTATAAAAAAAAAAAAAACACCTTTAAATAATTTTTAACTGGTTTAAAGCTAAGCATATTGAAGGGCAAATAAAAATTCTGTTTCCCAGGCCATTTTAAATGAGAAAACAATCTCTCCAATATAATTTGTCCTGACATTCATCTAAAACAGTGCTTTTAAAAATGCAATCACTATCTCACCTTCCGCTCACTGGTTCACAAGGCTTTGCTCACACAGAATTTGGACCCAACAGTGTCAATAAAATGCAGGATCAAATATGCATACGCCTTTGTTTAGAGATAAGACTTTCAAAAGAAGATACAGAAAGAAGAGATAGAATGGTTTAATAGTGAAGACATGAGAAGTGGTTACAAGAGATCTAGAACATACAGCAGGCATATTTTCCTGCAGCATCAAAACCTTTCTGATGTGCACAGAAGTAACAGATTCTCCAAGGTCCTGCTGTGTTGGGAGGATTTTTAAAGGTCTCTTTTAACCTGCAACCTCTGTTCAGGTTGCAATTAAAGGGTTTTATACATGATGAGCATTAAAAAAGAAAGGAAAAAGGTGTATAAAACCTAGTAAGATCCCTGAAGTGTCTCACTGCTCGAGGACAAAGACCATATATAGTGATCTCCTTTCACACTGCAGCCTGCTTCACACTGCAGTGCAATTCCCACTCTACTGCCAGCTTGCACACATGCTCAGCTGGCTTTTTTACATCACAGGAAGCAGATATTTATATTCTTCCTGAGACTTTTGCTTCCTGTTACAAACACAGACTATGCAGCCAACTGTCCATCTAATGGCAACACAGAGCTAAAGACAAGTGAACAACATGTCAGTGCAAATGATGGGTTCTGTCAGAGCCACGCTGGAGCCCCATGTAGGCAGCAGAGACCTGCTGGGTAACAGAGCTGTGAAGCAACAAAGGGAACAGGAAATACAGATGTGCAGGAACAAGGGAATCCCAGCCACTCTACTCCTTGGAGTATGGCACTGCAATGCAATAATTAAAGGAATAAATGCAGAACCAAGGGGAAAAAATAGCATGAAATGCCAGGCAATCTGCAGCCACACCTCACTCCAGAAGGCACCACATTCCTGACAGGTCTGCAGATGGATGGACTTGTTCTGAGACAAGCATTTTCATGAGGCATGAGCTTAGGAGTAGGCAGGATGTGTTTACTGTATTTTATTTGATATTCTGTTATGAGCTAGACATAGGAAAAACTAATTCTTTTAGAATAAGGTTATATTTCTGGAATAAGAACATCCATATGGATAGTTACGTTCAAGTAACTATACTTGATACTGATACTATTTCCCTCATCACAGACACCTTAAAATAATTTTTTCTCCAGACAAGTCAAATCTATTTCTCCTTCAAGCTTTATGCCAGGTATCAGCACTGGAGTAGAACTGCTGTCCATGCTATAATTTCGTCAAGACTGCTTCATATATAGGATCAAAGAGAAAAACGGGGCAAGGAGACACTGGATTTTATTTGAACAAACAGCTTTAAAGATCCTGCAAATGGAAGGAAATCTTGGAAAGAGAAAAAAAAGAAACAATGCTTTTTGAGCTGGTAAAGCCACATAACTGCCTCCCAGTCTGGCTGGACACTGTTAGACGGAAGCTCAGCATCAAAAGCAACAGGCCAGGATGGTGGCTGGAGAAGGTGACACAAAAAAGAAAGCACATGGAATACAGTAGTTCTTCTGTGTCTTGTAATTTGCAGCCAGGAGTTATTTGTAGTAGCCTATTAAAAAGCACTGTGGTAACAGGATCATCCACATTCAGACTTGGCTTTTCCCACAGTGTCAATCACAGGTTTATCTGACCTGTATATATCTAAACATGGTCCTAAAGAATCAAATAAACTGTTTCCAAAGTTAAAGGACACAGTTCAAATTCTAAGGACAAATACTGCAGACTGTTACTCAAGGGCCCAGTGCTCATCACAAGACATCTGCAAGCACCAGTTCTTAAGGCTACAAGAAGACACAGTCCCCATACAGTAGCTGTTAAGAAAACTATGGCTCAGGTAGCAAGAGGTTTTTCTTCATTTGAGCTGCCTTTCTGCGGCCATTCTTTACAGGAAACAAACAAAGCAAAAACCATAGAAAAAAATGTAAATTAACTACACATTCATTGCTTTAGTATTTAAGATAATCTTAATTTTACAGGAAAATCTTAAAGGAATAAGCAGTCTGAAAACTGGCCCATGTAAAAAAAAATAAATATAGATCTTTGGGGAAAAATTAAAAAGCCCTCAAATACTATGTGTGTATATTATAGAAGCTGTGGGTCAGAAAGGGAAATGGTGTCCAGTGGTTGGAAGGTGTGTTGCAAAAATAACTTTACGTTGATTGCATTCATTTGCATAACAACAAATTTAGAAAAGGTAATTGTAACAGTATGTCTGAGAAACATAATTTCACTAGATACATCTTACAGAGAGAGAGACATGATTTACTACATATTTAACCTTCTACTCAAGCAGAGTGGGAAAATTAGATTAGAAAGACGGCCAAGTACATCAATGCAGTTATCCCATCAGCCCAAACAGCCAAATCTTCATCTTGTTTTTTTGTAATGGGTCTTCTGATAGATTAAAACATAATTCTAAATGTCTATTAGCCTAACTTCAGCAATTCAGTCATCCCACTCAAAGAGAGAAAAGTAGCATCTTTGATTTATTTTTAAATAGCAAAATAAATCCTGAAGCTTAAAGCCCCTTTTGTTCCCACCCTGCTTGCATAACAAAGCCATCAGTCAGAGCCACTAAACCGACTTTCTAGGTTATATCTGTCAGTCATGATACTGTTCAGAGAACATAATGTCCAAAAGCCACCGAAAACATCCAAGCCTTGTCACTTGTCCGATGAGTCTTAAGTATTTGAATGACAAGATCAGAGTTCAAGAGTGCAGGTAAAAACAGGATTCTGTGCTGGAATCAAACGGTATTCAAATTTTGTATCCAAACTACTAAGTTTGTTTTTCAACTAGCAATTGATAAAACATTTGGATTCTTTGGAGCAGTCAAGTATTTTTCCTCATGCTTAAAGATGAACACTCACCCTTACAGGACTCAGACTTACGTCCAGAGAAGTATAGTGGCAAAAACCTTAAGCTAAATGGACCTTGTCAGATAAAAAATCATCCTATTAAAATAAAAATCGCCTGCTACCCATACAAAGCATTTTTTATAAAAAACATTATTCTCCCTTCACTCCCTGTTAGACTTTGCCTTGAGCACTTGAATGCTGTGCCACTTATGTCCTTAACAGAGGCAGTTCCTTTGAACTGTTTAAAAGTCATTCAACTATTTCTGCTCTACTTTGAAATATTGCTCCTTCGGATACCTGACAATGCCCCTTTGACCTAAGAGAAGTATGAACAAACTATATCTAGCTCTGATTAAAAAGGTCAACATTTACATGGGATAATTTTTAAATCCCCAGTATTTATCATTGTCAAAAGTATAAATATGTTTTACTTCTAAAATCTTAATCAAATATTTTTAAAGCTGAGTATGTCAAAATAATTAAATCATAAATACTGAATATCACAATTTGTGTCCATGATTTAACTTGTGACAATGGCAAAATCCCCTAAAAATCAAACAGTTTGAACTCTGAGTTTGACACTTCCCATTTAGGATGGTGTGTATATTCAGGAAGAAGAACCCACCACTCTCCATCTTTTGAAATGATGACATGGAGCTCAGGTGTGACAGACCCAGGTGTTTTACCATTAGGCTGTCAAACCTTGGAGAAAGACATAATGGCAAGGTCCTGAGTCAAAAATGCCTAAAATAAAGCTTTCCTGTGTCACTGCAATTGTGGAGCAGCACTTTGAATGAATATGTCATCTAATTTTCCTAAGCTGGAAATTGCTGAGGATACCAGGCAAAATACTAGCATTTCTACAGCTGTGGAGGAAACACCCTGTGAATCTTTCCCAGGGCCCTGTAGATGAACCACACTTCATTAAACCTTTTCTTCTGGGGGCGTCATACTGGTTATATATGTAATTAGAGATTTACCGTACACTCAAGGAGTCTCATCTCATTTTAGCTAAAATTCTCTTTTCTGCTTTAGGTTTCTATGTAAGACTTTATATTCTGTGTGGGGAAAAATATTGTATTCCAATATAGTGTTTCAACAAAGAGGGAAAAATAAAGAAATCTATTAAAAATCCTGGCAGTTTTGTTCAGTAAAGTTTTTTTTTTGGTTTTTTTTTTTATAAAAATGTACCAAGGAGTAAACTTCAAAGAAATCAGGTGATGTATATAAAAATAGTTTTCAGTGGCTCTGGAAGGAAAAAATAGCAAAAATAAAAGGAAATAAATGAAGGGGGGAAAGCACAAATAATAGTTTCTTTCTTCTTTTTTCACATCACTGAGCATCCTCTAGAGGTTGTTCTGGGATCACCCTAAAATAAGATAGACAGAGTTGAATTCAGTTCTTACCAGCTATTCAGATTGCAAGCCTAGAGTCTGGTTATCATCTCAATTGCCAAAAGCACTTTTTTAGTAGTTCAGTTACATTAAGGGAACATCACTACATAAAAGGAAGCAGAGCACCTGGCCCAGTCTGCTGCCAGGACTGACACACTGCTCCTCTGGATGTGCCTTCCTGTGATGGGTCGACTGGTTAGTGCCCGTATTTCCAAAAGTGATACAGATGACAAATGGAAATTGCGATGTCATTAGCTTGAGACCAGCAAGTTCCTTTATTTCAAATGCTGATTCCATTTGAGAGAGATCTCCGCTGTATAGCTGCTTTTTTGGGTAACAAAAATAAGTTGTTTTATACTACAAATGCACTGCTCAATCTTTGGAACCAAAAAAGCTCTGAGAACTCACCTACAAACCTGCACAGAATGGGTTATTTGTGCAAAGAGCTAATGGCCATTGATCAGAAGAACAAATCGAGTTTAAAATTTAAAATATTTTCTGATATCACCCATGTATCTTTCGGCATTTTTTGCTCTGTCAACTGCTGGTAACTTATTTCACATTATTAAACTAAAGGTTATCAAAACACACAGGTGGTATTATTAAGAAAAAACAAGTTTGTTTCAGGTGTAGAAGGTATGTTGTATAAGAAAATAAGTCAATAAGCTGAAGCTTGCAGCAAGAGAAGCATCCCCATTCCTGGTTTTCAGTGGTTATCTGGTAATATTCCAGCAAGAATGCCCTAGCCTTGCTGCACAGAGCAGCAGACACTGGGAGGAATGCTGCAGAAGTATGATCTGAAGCACAGAAACCCTGAGCTGGCATCAGCCACTTCCTGAGCTGTACCAGGATGGGTCCCAGCAGCAATTTCTGGCAGCATTGCTCACATTGTCCACTTCCGGTGCACTGCAATGTTGTAAGCAACCATTGAAGGAAAGGAAGAAAGGACCAGGAAGCTTAGAGCTGACAAAAGCTGAAGGGGGATCCCCCCACTAAATCTTATGCCTGACTGATCCAAGTAATGAGGCACAAGTAAACATCTGGTCTCCATCTGATTACCTGTTGGTTGAAAAGGTCTTCCTCTCCATATTCTGTTTCATCTTCTTCCTCTTCATTATCTCGCACGACTACTGATTTAGTAATGCTTCTCACTGCAACTTCCTACACAAAATAATAGATAAGGAGATGGCCAGGAGTCTTTATCTATCTGTTAAGTTTTTGCTATACCATCAATATAATATCCTTATTAAATTTTGGAGAGTTTAAAGCAACTTAGCCTAGATTTAATAGTAGTTATGCAAGCAAATACTGTCAATATCCTGCAAACCACAACATCACTCCTATTTCTGTGCACTAAAAGACATGGTAATGTAATTCAGTCACTTGAATTTTCTTTCATTACCCTGGGATTTAAGAGAAGGAAGCAGACATGTTTCAGGTGATAGGTAGTCGATTTTACACAAGGTCACAGCAGACACAGGTAGGAGCTGTGTGAGGTACACGGTAATGTGAGAAACTAAACTTTCCTAGTGTGATTACACAACATAAAGAATTTCCCAATTTCTAATAAATATTCAATGTCAATTGTATATGTTGATTATCAGCATGGTCTTACAAGCCAGGCATTAAAGAGAATTCTAAAACCCCAGGAAGCTTCCTTTATTACTGAATTATTTTTAGCACTTTTAAATAGTGATAAATTCTTCTGCCTACTTGCACCATGGAAATCACAGGTAAAAATCTCTCGTTGTGGAAAAAGTTGCCCTTAACATACACTCCTAAGCAGGGACACTAAAGGTAATCATAGTGAAAACAGATATGAATTTGAAATTTTTTCAGATACTAGTTTGACCACACAGTTAGAATATTGAGAGTGTTAGCTTTCTATTTGTACCAATTAACCCCAGTCCTACCTCACCCTGCCCACAAAGTTCTTCCAGAAAACTGCCAGCAAGAAAGTCAACACAAAAACTGATACAACTGTGGTCTGTTTCCTTTTCTTACTGCTATCAGATTTGGGATAATGTCATGGTTATGAGTAACAGCCAAAGCATGATTCTCCCTTGCAGAAGTCATCTGCAAGGATAGTTTTAAAAACATTAACTGTGGGCAGATGTAGGAAAATGCAGAATGCTCAGGAACCTCTGCCAAACGAGAACTTATGGTATGCTTCTAACACCGAAAGGACAACTATCTTCCTAAATTAATATTTACATTGCAACTCAGAACATCATAGGAACTATATAATGGAATTGTGAATTGCCAGAAATGCTTCTTTTTGTCTCTTCTAAAAGTACATACTCAAATTCCAAACAAATTCTCCTCTAGCAGGGTATTCTTGCCTGTTGTCTATGGGCATAATCATGACGATCATAGTTTTCAAAAATATCCCAAAAATGTCAGAGATATGCAGACACATCTAATTGTTTCAGTGTTATAAACTGTCATATTAGAGGACAACAGCAGACATGCCACAACCAGGATTTTGTCACTGTCACCCCATCCCCAAATGAAGTTTGGGAGATGGGACCCAGCCTACCTCTCCTTCAGAGTTGACGAGGTATGTGCGGATATTTCCACCGGTGCCCCAGCTGCCTTGGTTCTTCCACACCAGAACAGAGGGGGGGCTGTGAGACACGCCTGCATCTGCACCCCAGATCTAGAGAGAACGACAGCTGTAATTAGCTGTTTATCTCCTTTTTTCTTTTAAATATACATATCCCCCTAATTCTCTCTATATACTAGGTTTCTTTTCTGAATTCAAATGGCAGTTTTACTCTACTTTTAACTACACTATTACTTGCAGTAAGGTATTAAAAAAATCTAGCATCGCAGTCATGAATTCTTTTCTGAACAAATTTCTTCTGCCACTGTCTCAATAATCATACTGTATGGAGCCAAGGCAAAAAGCAGCAGGTAGTGTACCAACTTAATCTTTTGTATCTATCTGAACAATTGATACTTAAGTAGAAATAGCTGCAAGTGATTAAAAGATACATTTATTTCTTCCTAAAAGAACATCTGTTACAGACTGAAAATAAAATGCAAAATTTTTGAAACTCAGCTGTTCTACTACAGTTAATGTAGTAGAATGTCCTGTCTTAACTACAGTCTACTACTCTGGATGAATGCTCTTAACTGTTCCCAATTCTTTAAGAGATTGAAGCAGGATTAGGGTTCTAAACCTGGGCAAAGGTGTTTGGAAACAATAGTCCTTGACTATTCCCCCAAAATACCTTTTTCTTCAACCTTCTCTGTGCCAAAAAAATGGTCTAAATACTGAAGTACTAATATAGAAATTCATCTTTTGTTTTGCATTTTTGTAACTGAAATCCTGCTTCTCTAGAGTGAGATCCATGAACCCAAAATTTATACACTAAATCAGGCTGTATCAGACTTCAAGATTTCAAATTGCCACGACATCAACAGAAGAATATGTTGCTGACATACTGTAAATACAACTTACTGTAACAGTCTGCCCAGCTCTGAGGACATACTTAGGAGTAAATTTGTAAGCAATTTCATCTCCATCTCCAATTTGTCTTTTCAGTCTCCAGTTACCCAAAGACTGATCCTAATGGAGAGAGTCAGAGAGTTATCCAGAGTGAATAAAACAAAACTAACAGTCATCACAGTCTAGGTATTTGTCATTAAAATAATGGGAATATAAATTTATTTATATGGTTGCTAGACATTTGCATTCTACCTTGAAAGTATTTGCCTATATCCAGTCAGTGTAAATCCTGTAAGGTCATTCAGCAAAATTTTAAAGGACATCCCTTTCACACAACAAAGTTCTGCTAGATAGCAGGCTGTTTCTGTGAGCAGTGTCCCAGCACACATTTGGGACACAAATTGTATTCTCTTCCTGCAGCATGTTAGCCCACCATTATATTCAACTTTTCAAAGCCTCCATTAATTCCTGCAGGATGCTGCACCTTGAGATGCTGCTCCTGCTCTCCACATGGCCACACCTACTCATGCTGCAAAGGGCTGCAATTTAGCTCCTTGTTTTCTATGGGTTCTGCTGATGCTCACCTTCTCTGAGTTGTTCTTAAGCTGAACATATTTGCCCTCCAGGTCTATCTCTTCTATGCTGATACTTCCTGTAGCTGAAGCTTGCTGGGACATTTGAAAGCTACTGCTACTGCTGCTGCCACTGATGCTTCCTGTGCCAATCCCACTTGTTCCACTGCCGGAAAGCTCCTCTGCCTCAATACGTTTTCGCTTGCTTCGGGAAGAGCGAACAAGTGAAGTGCTGCTGCTGCTGCTGCTGGAGGTAGCTCGAGAGACTGTGACACGGGAGGAGGGACTTGGAGAGAGCTTCAACCTTAACACAATCAAGAAAGCATTCTAATTAGCTCACCCAGAGAACCATTGACAAAGCTACAATATCCTCAAGTAACCAGACTGTAATGTGCTCCATGGCTGACAGCATCCTCACTCTGTATGTCAGGAGGACTGCATACATGAGGAGAAGGGGGCTACCCATCCCTGAGGAATGTTCTGGCAGTATGACCATGTGACATGGAAAGCAGTGCTACTGAGAGCAACACAGATCACTTAACCTCTCCCTCCAGTAAACTAGTAAACACACTATTCTTGGGCCCTATGATTTAAAACCACAGAAGTACAAGCACTTAAGTAAAAAGATGATATGAAGACCAAGCACAGAATAATATATTTCACTGTACTCCAAGACCATTACAAAAACCCAAAATAATGACAGTGTTCAGTTGAGAACAAGTGTTCCATTCAAGTGTTCCATGCAACAACACTTGTGAGTCCTTAGAAAAGAAAGTGGAATCTTTACGCACCTTTCCTCTTCTCCTTCCAGGAGTTTTCGGTAAGCACTGATCTCCATGTCCAGTGCTAATTTAACATCAAGCAGCTCTTGGTACTCTGTAAGCTGAAGCTGCATCTGGTCCCTCATGTCTGTCATTTCCCTCTCCTTTGCATCCAACATCTTCCTAAACTTCTCCCGCTCACCAGCCATCATTTCCTCCAGCTCCCGGATGCGATCTTCCGCTGCACTGGCCTGGGCACACAGCACAAGAAAAAGCTCACGTGGCATCCATGCAAGTCCACTCAAAACGTTAAAACCCTTCTCCCTCCCAAATGAACGTAACAAAGATTTCTCTGTGTAAAATTCAGAAAATATGAAGGGTCAGAACTGTTAATATATTCACATAAAACAGCTGTGTGTTTGAGATGAAAGCCAATTTAGTCCCTTTACCTGTTTCTGAAGACCAGAAAGCTGGTAGCTGAGAGCTTCTATCCTCATGCGAGCCTCCTTCAGCTCCTCTCGAGCTGCACCAGCAGCTTTGTCATTTTGGTCAGAGGACAATTTGGCATTCTCCAGCTGGAAAGAAATTTTTACACACATCACTTGTACTGAGTTAGAAATCCTGCAATATTCTTTTGGCAAAATAATAGCAACTATTTAATTCTAAAAAATTTTAAATGGTCTGGTAAGTTTAGGATTAGAACTGCATAACATTAAGGAATTCCCCAAGGACCGAAGGAAAAATCTATTTCAGATCTGTTCTTATAGGATTTGCTTATGATGTTAAAAAAATACTCTATTAGCCTTTCCATTATACAAGTAACCTTAGTTTCCAAAAAACTGATCATGAGCTCTGCATGTTTGTCCTAAGGCAAATCACACTGTGTGACAGCAAAGGCTGCCTACCTAATTCATGTCCTGGTCCAAAAGTTCCCTGCATACCCAGAGACTAACTCAATAAAATACTCCATGTGTATTATGTCTCTGCTGGCTATTTGGAACTCAGGGACTTCCTCAGTCAGAGACTGTATTTTGCTGCTTATTATCTCTCAGTGGATTTCTCAGGCAGGAATTTGTTTCTGCTTTTTTAATTTTTGGGGCAACGAGCTTAGCTCTACATTAAAGAACAACTTTTTGTTTCCTCTCAATCTGGACATCCTCACTGGACATTCACTGTCCCTGCTCCTACTGAAAAAATAATAAACAATCATTCCTCATTCACCTTCCCCCATGCTATTTATCCTTTTACAGATATCCACTGTATCTTTCACTTCTCTCAATACATCTTTTTCCCAGGTGAAGTTTTATTTAAAATTTTCTCATGCTTGACTTGTTTCCCACTCTAAATTCTCTGTCAGTCTGCTCCGTATTACTCTGTAGTACCTTTGCAAGAAGCAATAAAATTACCCACAGCACTCCAGATGACAACCTGTCCCACAGGCAAAACAATGTGTTTGGTTTTCTTATCTTTCCCTAATAGCTGCCAATACATGATCTGTTTTTAATTTTTTGTTAATTTTTTTTTTTTATTTTTTGTTAAAGCTAGTGAACAAGCTTAATTTCTAGTGGTTAATTTTAACCAAAACAGAGAGAGCAAAACCAGAACTCTTACATGGTAAGTTTCATAAAAGCAGAGAGCTAGAAAAAGCATCCTTTACATGCCTTAGAGCTGGACCTCAAATTTCACCACACCACGGAATCCACTCAAAAACTAAACTGATCCAATTCTAAGAATAGTTACAGGCAGATGTTCTTTAGCCACACAGCACAAAGGTTTATAAAATCAATCTTCATTATCTCTGCTGTTCACTAGGTTCTGAGCAGCACACACAGAGCCTTCTTTAGGCCACAGATTTTGAAGGAACTTCAACTACACACTCCATTACTTCTTGTAAAGATTAAAATAAAAAAATATTTGAAGTCTGACAACCATTCACTACCTTATAGTCATGCTGGCATAGTGCCAAATGCTCAGAATTTCTATTGCTTATTATCACAAATCATGATGATCTTTCTTCCAAGCCCTTTTTAAGTATTCAAAAGTCTCAATAAGGTCTCCCTGGAGAGTTCTCTTGTCCAGGCTGAACACCCCAGCTCTCTCAACTCTCTCCGTAAGAGGTGCTCCAGTCCTCAGATCACTTTCGTGGCCTCCTCTGGACCTTTTCCAGCTGCTCCACATTTGTCCTGTGTAAGAAGTGAGCTTTTACCCAAGACCATCTCATCCTGGAGATGCTCAGCTGCTAAACCTAATGATTTGCTTTGCCATCTATTGCTCCTCAGCTTTCACTCTCTAACAGGGACACATCTTTGTTCAGATATCACAGAATGAAATTCACAGCTAAACCCCTTTCCTTCCATATTCCGACTTCATTCATAATAACCACCTTTATGCAGGGGAAAAAAAAGCTTAATTTGTTCATCCCCCCGTTCAAACCTTGTCACTTTTTAATTTTCTAAGTCTGCATATTGTAGCCATTTTAAATTTTTTTTTCCTACTAAGCCTCTTCTATCCTGGATCTCCTTCAGACAAGTAGCTCCTTGCATAAAGTATTACATGTTCCAGAGTTCTGTGAATAATTCCAACACTGTTGTGTTAGGGGTTTTAATTTTCATTTTGGGATTTTAGTATCTATTATCTATAGTGTTGCTGCTGTAAGTAATAGTTAAATATTTGTAGATCAGTGTTTCTCAAACCAAATCATCAACCAAAGAGTTCAAAGGGAGTCTCTGCGAAGGGTTGGGGAGAACAAGGCTAGCAGTACCATCATTCTCCAGTACAAGAGAACAAGAAGAGGCTGTAAAAATTGACAAGTATTTTCAACAACCAGAATCGCCAGTACGGGGCTCTGAGCAACCTGATCTAGTTTAAAGATGTTCCTGTTCAAGGCAGAGGGCTGGACTAGATGACTTCTCAAAGTCCCTTCCAGCCCAAACCACTCTACAATTCTATGATTTCCAAATTATATATCACGGTTTTCATCACCAAAGCTGACCAAGAAAGATCTGATATCTTGCCTGAAGTTTCCCTGTCACTAAAGAAATCACAGCTGCATCTAGTAATTTTCCAGTCCAGACTAACATAGATCATTGAAATGTGGCCAGGCTTAGACATATTTAAAAGTGCATTGGTGTGGTTAGGAATACTGCAAAGACCACAGTAAGAGCAAAGTGACAAGACACCCTTAGATAAGAAGCCCCTTCAGTGTGTCTATATTCGTTTGCAAGCTCACTGCATCCAAGCAAAAACCCATACTGAGACACACCCACTTCAAAGCTCTCCAATCTCCCCATCCAGCTTCTTATGCGCAACATATTGCACATATTGCAAGTCTTCCCTACCCCCTCCATTTGTGAAGAAAAACTGATCTACTAATGTAAGAAAAGAGCCCTTATAGCAGAAGACATTGTCTAAGCAGCTACTGCATGACATCCACTGTTCCCACTGTGTCTTCTGCAGGGACCAACAACAGCTCCACATGTTTTCTCACTGACCTCTCTTGGCTAAAGCTATTGCTTGCTATTACCTCTGGCTATAACCTCCCTGGAACTGCATCTGCACACAAGACCTAGGGAAGGCATTTGAAAATTGGGACAAAACTTCCTGAAATTACAGTTACTTGTCTCTTTAAGAGCAGTAGAGCTGATAGAAGTGGTTTTTATCTCACAAACTGGGCTTCCAGTCAGACAGTGCTGTGGACAGCAATTGTTACCTTAGCCTGATAGGTCTGCTCCAGCTCCATCTTATACAGTTTGACTTGTTCATCATGTTGATTTCGCAGATCCTCCAGAGCCTGAGTCATTTTGGATTCATACTCCTGTTGGCGGCTTGTGTCCACCTCAATCAAACGATGTTCATGTCGTTTTCTTGTTTCCCTTATTTCCTACACACACACAAAAGAAGAGGGACAAATTCCCACACTAAGGTAAACAGTACAAGCAGTTACATTCAGACAACAATTAACTACTGCAGTACTAAATATTCAGTATAATGGAGCTACAGTACTACAGGCATTTAAGCCTGGGAATTGCTGCATGCACTAACAGATTCAAATTACTGTTTTCATTTGTCAGGATGTAATTGTTAATAAAACCAGCTTCAAAAATAGCCATAAAACTAAATAGCCTAAGGACGGAGCTGTCTTATGCTACAAAAGTCAAAATGGGGGGAAGTGAAAAACACATCAATTTTTTCATAGTAAAGAGATCCATATGCTGCACTATAAAGCCTGTGCTTCTCAAAATACATCCTGACATTACAATAGCGGTCTACAAGGAATCAGATGAAAATGAACACCTTTTGTGAACATTATATGTATTAAAAATATCATTCTAGAGAAAAACTGCATCTTCAAATTTCACTCTTAAGCACATGTGGATCTCATCTATATTCTAGATACTTCATCACCTCTTCTTATTAGATTTTGATTAGAGTATTAATAAAGCAGCAACTCAAGCAATTCTGAAGACATAATTTTTCATGATCAGAGTTTGTACTAAGAAATTTTCATTTTTATAAATGTATGAGTTTTCTGTGCTTAAGAACACTAGTTGTAAACTAGTAAGGTAAGGCTTACTCAGGCACTTATTCATGCAGAGACCTAGCCAGGCGTGAATGTGTGGTATGAGAAAAACAATTTATTCCTTCAGGGCAGGACAAACAACCAAGGAGTGGTTCTGAGTACTGGAAGGGGGCCTGAACTTAGCAGCAGGGCCAGGAGGAACAATAACAAGTGAAGCAAGGCTCAGTTTTGCCAGACCGGCGTCATAGCAGGTAACTTTACTAGCTGTTTTGCACAAATGCTCTATCTAAAAATAGATCCCAAGAAACATGTCCTTTTACTAGCAGCAATGCTCTGAAGTGATACGGAAGAAGCTTTTCCTTCTGTGGTTAATTTTTACACCAAGAAAAGTAGCAAGCAGCAGTCTCTCGGTAACTCTAGGCAATGGCAGCTCAGAAGCTGCAGGAATGTTGTGAGGGACTCCAAGGGATCAGGTGAAGGGCTGAGCTGATCCAGCAGCTCAACACCACTGGAATAAGCAGGCCTCACTTGCCACGATTCCCAGTCACGATGTCTCAATTCTAATGGAGATTTGGACCCTTCAGTGAACCTAATTAATTCACTAAAATAAGGAAATAAATTTCTTTATTGCTTCATTTGTTGACTTGGTGCATAGCAGAATCAAAGAACTTCAGGAATAGCTATAGAACCCTTGAGAACAGCAAGCTTTAGGATTAGCTTCTGCTATCTCATTTAGCTTCACATTCAGTGAACAGCAACACATTCTCTCCAAGAAGAAAAGTTATTTTAAGGTCCTACAACCAAACAAGGATCTGTCATTGCAGTGAGTGTACCAATCCAACTGCTGCAGGGCATGGAAGTGAGACAATGGTCAGTACCACCTCAGGGTGATCTCCCTGGTTGGTTTCTTTGCCCTGCTCAAGCCCTGTTCCCTCTCCTTAGCCACACAGCCCTGTCCTATCCCTAACCAGCCTGAGCACTCATTTGGATTCTGTGGTAAAACAACTCAGCCACTAAGGGTCAAAAATTAAACTCAACCAAAAAAACTTTAGTATCTTTCTATTAATCTGGTTGAAGTAGTGAAGTGAACAGTGAGCTAAGCATCACACCCAGAGCAGGTGAGATGAACAGCAGAAGCATGTGGCGACTGCTCTGCAGCCGCTCATTGAATGAGCTTGCAGAAGCACCAGAGATGGAATAAACAGACATAACACTTTGCATATGGTACAGAGAGAAAGTCATGTTTCCCTTTCCCAATTCCCACTATTACAAACATTTTGGTCTTCACTAGAACCATTCACTTAACAGGCAGAAAACTACCTCTGCAATAAGTAAAGCAGTTGCATACTGTTCTAGTCAATAAAAATAGGTCATAATCAGGTCCACCAGCCAAAGCTAGTCTAAGTAAAGAGCAGGGCCATGCAACCAGGTCCAAAGAGAGGGAACAAGGTTTTCCCTTTCCCACAGCAGTCAGCTGGCTCCATGAGTTCACCTGCCCATGAAACAATACTCTGTTACTTGGCTCTCATACTGACTCCATCACTGATTTACCATGTTTTACCATGGTAAATGTAAATGGAGGTGTAGAACCTTCATCTATTTTATTACTCAACACATTTATAGGAAGGATAATACTGATTTTTCTCTACCCAGACAAGTAAGCAGTTGTTCATAGTCAATTTGATTAAAAGCTACATTAACTTTGGACAGTGGCAAGATTACTAGATTGATACCTCCTCAAATACATTCTTCCTGAAATCCAGATCTTCTTGTAAACTCTGGCACCGATTTTCCAGGTCCACACGCATGAGTGTCTCCTGCTCCAATTGCTTCTTTGCCACAGCATGACCATCTTCAGCCTAGTAAAGAATTTTAAAGATAATTTTGTCTGGATTCTTATCTTTCATCCATAAACGTTTTACGGTCATCGTCTGATGTCTTTGGACCAGTTACTCACAATAACAAATCTGATGTCAAGCCACTGATTTAAAGAAAACCAACCCACACCATCACCAGAAAAGAAACACAATTAATAAATAAAAGCCCTACAAAAAAAAAAAGAACATGTGTGTGCGTATGTCTATGTTAATTGATATTTAAACCAAGCTTATATGTCTGCATACCAGCTATTTAAAATGTAGGATTAGTTCAATACACTCTGATACAGGAGCTGAGGATTATTAATTCCTCAAGCACAACATGTTGCACTTTACTCTTCTTGTTAGCATCGTCCTACTGGGTACTCCAGCACAAGTGTATAATTATGCAGGACCTTACAAAGGACAACATTTAATAACCCAACATCCCATGAATATAGAAACATCAGAAATTTTTAAATAAGCTTCTGATAAGCAAAATGTCTAAAACACTGTGTTGCTTTGGTTGTTTCACGTAGATTTCTTAGAATTTAGTTTTGTATCCAAGAGGATCAGCCAAAGGTTCATCAGTAAGCAAGGTGGATCACTGATGTTCAGACTATAAACTAGCTGCAAAGAAAAAAGGGAATTTATGCTACACAGCCTTTCCTGTGCTGAAGCAAGAGAACATTCCCTTTCATACCTTAGCAAGCTGGGCACGCAGATCAGCCACCTCTGCCTCCAGACTGCGTTTCTCATTCAGGACAGTATTGAGTTCTGCTTCACTTCTATGGAAGAGAACTTCCAGATCCTTGATGCGACCCTGAGCCACAGACAAATCTGCATCCTTCTTCTTGTAGCTGGAAAAAAAAAGGACATTATATTTATACATGGGTACACACCCATCCTGAGCATATCTTGGTTACAGCCACTGGTATTTTGTTACCAGACACCTTTTATCAAGCCCAGCTCACCACTATATGGCTCCTGCAGTAACCTGCATGTGCTGTTGATCATTGACCTGGAACACCCCCAAAATGTGCAGTACCATGTTCTGTAAATGCATGACATGCTAAAAAACATGTTATAGACAGACAAGGGAAAAACAAGAAGGCAACTCTGGCAGCTAAGAGATGGTAATACACACAAGGTGTAAACAGTACTTTTTATTAGCTACATAGCTGATATCTTTTACTTTGGAGTACAGCCCAGGAAGCCAAGCATATGCAATGGCCAAAGAGGCCTGAGCATCCCCTGTGTTTTATATCTGATGTAGTCAAGCCTATTCTTCATGATGTAGTCCCACAAAAGCAGTAAAATAAAATAATCCACTATGGAAACGTGGTCACCTTTCAGGATTAAAACAGCATGTCTTCAGCAGTATTCATTATGGGCAAAGCACGACTGAGTGCTTAAATACCATTATTTTAGCTGTTATATCCCACTTGCAGATATGATCAAGGTAATCTTCCTTCTGCCCACCAAGTAATTTATTAGCCTTTTCATCTAATATAGTGACTTTCTGCAGCTTTTCTCAGCATTCATCGTTATTAAAAAACTGTTCTGTTATGTGCTGTAATGCTTCCTTGTTGCTGCTTAAGCTTGCTGTTCTAGTATGACACCACATGGGATGGAGGGAACCATTTTAAATTTTTTTTCGCTTAAGTCATTGCAGACAATTTTTCTCCTTTCCTTTCCTCAAACTTCTAATCTATAGATCTCTAATTTGCACCTGTGGTCCATGAGCTGTTTTTAAGGGTCCACCGAACTAACTTTGAAGAGAATTCCTACTACATCTAGGCTTTTAAAAGCTCTGTATTCAATCTGCAACTCCAAACATGAAAAATAACTATTATGTTTGCAAAGAGGAAAAAAAAGAAGCTGAAAACCAGTGTTGTAGATTATACAAACTTTACTGCTCAGCCCAGATCCTGAAGCTTGGTTCCCAAACACCTCATCACTTGTACTGTCTTCTTAAATTTCTGATTTGCCTGAATTGGCCAGAATTATTTTACCAAAATCCTTCATTATGGGGTAGTGGTGTGCCCTACATACAATATTTCTTTACATGGTTCAGCATGGTGTGCATCTTTTTCTAAGTTGCCATCTTTATTTTGTGATGCATTCAGTTTCTGTTTTTTCTCTGCATTTCATGGTGTAGATCTTGGAATCTGTTTTCATATAATTGTAACCAATTTTTCTTATCATCGGTCCAATCCGTCACTGTGAAATCTGTTCTGCAACATACGTGCAGTGTCTTCAAACCCAGCAGCTGGCTGGAGGCACAGACAAAACATGGCTTCTACTTAAAAGACAATTATTTAGTAGCAATCGGAAGGTCACAAGCACTGCATTTTACACACGTTGCAAAACATGCCACTGTGCCTGTGTCACAACCAAGGAGACTCAGGGAGCCTGTGCAGGACCCAAAGGGCAAATATCACATCTCTCTGAGCATGAACAGCAGTATGTGCTCACACAGCCTCCTGCTTCCCCCTAGCTGCAGAAGCCAGGCAGCAAGCAACTGCTTTCAGGGATGGGAATGAATAGAAGTGTTTGATGTACAGCTTAACAAAGAAGCATAGAGCATTCTTGACAGTGATAAGTAACTTTGGCCCTCTCAAGGACACTGACAATATTGCAAGCCATTTTAATTTTTATTTTCACTTATACTTTCAGCCTGGCTTATTGCCTTCATGCAGAAATGTGATAGCGGTTTTACAAAGGTACAAATGCTTTTGGGGATCTCTGAGATTTTAAAAAGTTCCCACAAGCAGTCAATGCACCTGGTGAGATGTGTCAATGCTTCAAGGAACACCAAGTTAGGGTAACGCTCAAGAGCTCTTTTTTCCCAGAGCCACAATTGCTCAAGGGAAATGTTTCAGTGACCACATGTAGTGGGTCTAGCATAAAACCGTAAGTTCTTTTCATCCATCTCTGGGAGCAGAGGTCTTCTTCCTCTTTGCTGGTGGCAAAGGGTCTTCATCACTCTCATCTCTCTGTTCAAACCTATCATGGAATCACGACTACTTCAGCATCTACTTGCTCCACCATGGATGCCTTTACTCATGTCTACACTTTGAATGCTCCATCCCTCATGCTTTTCAATGATTTACAGGGATATTTCAGTGTATCATAGTCCATCACCGTGGCCTACAGAGGAATTTCAGCCCAAGACTAAGGCATCTCCTCATTCTCCTCCCATCTGGGATTTTGACTCCTTTACTGAGCTTTATGTCTCCTGTTGTTCTCTCTAAGTATCTTCACTCTTTCCTTTCTCTCACTCGAGAGAGGATTGATGTTTGCAGGATTCATCTGTGAACTATATCTTGCCCAGGCTACAGATTGTCATGTGATCTTTACAAGGCAGCAGCCAGAGGTTTTCGGTGGCCATGCTGGTGGGGGGCAGGATCTCAGCAGCCAGGCTAGGACTCCACAGCAGCATGCCATGGGCCGATGGCTTCCCCTCCCCCTGCCTGGCAGAATTTCAGCTGAGCCCTAGGCCCGCCTGGCCGTGCTGCAGCAGAGGCAGGGCCTGGCCCGCTCCACCCCAGCCTGCGAGCCACTGACCTGTTCAAAGTTGGAAACGAGAGCTTTCCAGGGTTTATTTGTTCTGACAAGTGATTCACAGAGATGTGTCTAGCTTTCTTAAGTGGTTTGACAGCATGTCAATAATCAAAACTAGCAGCTGATTGGTTCTCTTGGATCTAGAGGAAGCTGTCAGCAATCCTCACAGAGAATCACTTCTGTAACAGATGGATTTTCTCTTTAACTAAAAACCAAGCTATGTTAAATCACGAAACCACAGAATCACAGCATTGTTTGGGTTGGAAGGAATCTTAAAGCCAATCTTGTTCCACCCCCATGATGTTCCAAGCCGCATCCAGCCTGGCCTTGGACACCTTCAGGGATGAGGCAGCCACAACTGCTCTGGGCAACCCGTGCCAGGCCTTCACCACCCTCACAGGGAAGAATTTGTTCCTAGTATCAAATCTAAACCTACTGTATTACAGTCTGAAGCTACGTCCTGTTGTCCTGTCTCTACATGTGGAGTAGGTAGCAGGCAGAGGAAGTCACAGCATGACATTCACCCCTCTCAGAGCTGGGAGCATGCAGCTCCAGCAGAAGACTGCTAAAGCAAGCAGAATGATGGCACCTGACAGATACTGACCTTCACACCTGGCTTGACCCAGGGAAAAGTGACCCTGGTAAAGATATGAACAGACACTTCATGAACACCAGGACAGGAGACTTTCCTTAACCATGCCATCACAGTTACCTCTGCTATCAGTGCATAGATCTTATTCATTTCACCAGATCTGGTTCAACAGTCTTGTGGGAGGGTGGTGTTCTACCTAAGCAGAAGTGTTGTGCACCTCACTGGTAAATTAATTCCCATCCATACCTCGTCCACTTATCCCCTCTCTCTTGTAGTCAAAAGTTTTGTCAAACGGCTGAAAATTAAAGCATAAACACTGGAAGCCATTACACAGCCTATAGAACCATACATGCTACAGAATGGTATGAAAATTGCTATTTTTACAACAGTATTTTAATTCTAGATTTAAAAATATGTCCCTACTCCTGATACAAACATCTTTAAACTAAAAGTTAAGTTGTTCCTTGCATCATATAAATGGTGTTCGAATATCCTAAAGATATTTAATTTTTTATAAAGTGAAACTACCCAACTGTTTTATGAACCTAGTTATGAACTTGGCTCAAAACAAAAAATTTTACATTCATGAGTTGCATTCAAGGTACAAATTGTACATATATGTATGACATAATGGGCTGGGTTGGAAGGGACCTTAAATCTCGTCTTGTTTCACCCTTCCCATGGGCAGGGACACCTTCCATTAGACCAGGATGGCTCCAAGCCCCATTCAGTCTGCCTTGAACACTTCCACACAGATGGGGCAGCCACAGCTTCTCTCAGAGCAACCTATTCCAGTGGTTGGATATTATGTTCTTCCCCCAGAGGGTGCTGGGGCTTTGAACAGGCTCCCCAGGGAATCATCACAGCCCCAAGGCTGCCAGAGCTCAAGGAGAGTTTGGACAAGACTCTCAGGCATAGGGTGGGATTTTGGGGTGTCTGTGCAAGGAGTTGACGGCTCTTGTGGGTCTAGTCCAGTTCAGGATATTCCATGACTCTATGATTCAGTGCCTCACCACCCTCACATGGAAGAATTTCTTTCCAATATCCCATCTAATGCTGCCCTATGTCAGTGTGAAGCTATTCACCCTTGTCCCACCACAACTGCCATGTACAAAGTCCTTCTCCCTCTCCTGGAGCCCCTTGCAGGGCCTAAGGTCTCCCTGGAGGCTTCTCTTCTCCAGGTGAATGCCCCCAGCTCTCCCAGCCTGGCTCCAGAGCAGAGGAGCTTCAGCCTTCAGAATACCAGAAAATGTGGCCTCCTCTGGACTCACTCCAGCAGCTTCACATTATTCTGATATTCAGTCACCAGAACAGAACTCCATGTGGGCTTGAAGAGGCAAATCACCTCCCTTGACCTGCTGGCCACACTTCTTTTGATGCAGCACAGGATATGATCAGCTTTCAGGGCTGTAAGTGCATACTGTTAGCTCAAATTCAGTTTTTCATCCATTGATACCTGGTTCTCCTCAGGGCTGCTCTTGATCCATTCTCCACCCAGCCTGTGTCTGTGATGGGAATGAACCAACACATACACAGAGCCTTACACTTGGCCTTGTTGAACTTCATAAGGTTCACACAGGCTCACTTCTCCAGCCTGTCCTGATCTCTTTATATGGCATCCCTTCTCTTCAGTGCATCAGCTGCAACACACATGTTTTGGCTGGCTGTTCTTTCTCATTAGAAGGAAGTGCTTCCTCCCCC